GAAAGAGACGATGGGAGGAGGAGAGGAAGATGAGGGGGAGGGTCAAGATTGCAGAACAGAGAATGAGAGAGAGTGTGCAGGGGGTAAGCCCAGAGAGGAGGGATAGAGGCACATGGGACAAAACTGAAAGTGACTTTGGTGCCAGAGAACTGCATTCTAAATCCTCAAAAGGCCTACATCAAATACACTTGAGAGGGGAAACATTTCAAGAATCCTTTGAAAACAGGAATGAGACCACGCTATTATCACGGCTTCTGTTCTATCTCATCTTGGAGGTCTTAGGGGAATGAGGCAAGAAAAACAAATGCAAGGAAAGCAAGAATTCATAGATTACTTGATTTATGTGTTCACAAAATCCAAAATAAAATTTTGAAATGATTTTATCAAGGACTCTGAGTACAAGATAACCTGCAAAAATCAATTGTATTTCTATACTAACACAGTCATGCAAGCATGAGTAAAGACAAATGGAAATTAACAAAATTGTTTTACAATAGGATAAAAAAACTTCAGATACTTTTCTCAGCCTCATTTTTTTCTCAAGTATAAAATTAGACCCACTATAAAAATAACAACAGCGACATTAGTAGAACTAATTAGTAGACATGCAGTAGAAGCAGTTGGTGTTCATGGAGAACCTGCAAGATACCAGACAGTGTTCTACATGTTTACATGGGTTCTTTCTTTCTTTCTTTCTTTTTTTTTAACATGGGTTATTTCTTTTAACTTTCACAACAACATTTTTATGGCTACTGTGAGGGTTAAATGAGGTCATATACATAAAACATTTAGCAAATGGTCTTCCATATAATACATTCTGTATACATTTTAGTAATATAAAATAATCATTGTTTTAACGAGACTCATAGACTCAGTTTTTAGTAGAACTAAACTGCCATTCCTTTGGCTTAAGATTTGTAAAATAAGCAGTCACATATTGTTGTTTTAAAATTTTAAGTAGCTCAGTAATTCATTTATTCATTCAGGCACTGCTCTTGGGTAGACAGAATCAACAAAATCCATGCCCTAATGGAGTTTGCAGTGTAGTGGGGAAGGGAGACATTGATCAAATGATGTCAGAGATTGTGCTGTGAGACTAAAAGATCAAGCACTGAGCATGACGAGGGCATCTGCTGGGAGAGCCTGGTCTGCACTGGAGAATGAAAGATGGCTTTGCTGCAGAAAATGGCGGTTGAGCTGAGTCCGGAGGGGAGGGCTCAGCTGAAGGGCTGGGTTGGGGAAGAGAATGTTCCACACAGAGGAAACAGTCAGTCTCCAGGGGGTAGGGGTTGGGGGTGGAGGGAGGGCGTGGCATGTTTCAGGAGCTGGGATAAAAAAACCTCTGAGTGACTGGAACTCAGAGAAAAAGGGTTGTTGTAGGAGCTGGGAGGCCAGAGGTCAGGTTGTCCAGGCCTGGGGGCCTTATTTTTATTTTTTTTTTAGAAAACTTTTATTTAATGAATATAAATTTCAAAAGTACAACTTTTGGATTATAGCTGTTTTTCCCCCCATAACCACCCTCCCACCTGCAAACCATCCCATTTCCTACTCCCTCTGCCATCCCATTCTTCATTAAGATTCATTTTTAATTATTTTTATATACAGAAGATCAACTTAGTATATACTAAGTAAAGATTTCAACAGTTTGCACCCACACAGACACACAAAGTATAAAGTACTGTTTGAAGACTATTTTTACCATTAATTCTCATAGTACAACACATTGAGGACAGTAATCCTACGTGGGGAGTTAGTGCACAGTGACTCCTGTTGATTTGACAATTGACACTATTTATGTATTTAATAAAGATTTTATTTATTTATTTGAGAGGTAGAGTTACAGACAGTGAGGAGAGACAGCGAGTAAGGTCTTCCTTCCATTGGTTCTCTCCCCAAATGGCCACAATGGCCAGAGCTGCGCTGATCCGAAGCCAGGAGCCAGGCACTTCTTAATGGTTTCTCTTGTGGGTGCAGGGGCCCAAGGACTTGGGCCATTCTCCACTTCCCTCCCAGGCCATAGCAGAGAGCTGGACTGGAAGTGAAGCAGCAGGGACTAGAACCAACGCTTATATGGGATGCCGGTGCTGCAGATGGAGGATTAACCTACTGTGCCACGGCGCCAGCCCCTCAACACTCTTATTTATGACGTCAGTAATCATCCAAGGCTCTTGTCATGAGCTGCCAAGGCTATGGAAGCCTCTTGAATTCACAAACTCTGACCTTATGACAGGGCCATAATCAAAATGGAAGTTCTCTCCTCCCTTCAGAGAAAGGTACCTCCTTCTTTGATGGCCCCGTTCTTTCCACTGGGATCTCACTCACAGAAATGTTTCATTTAGGTCATTTTTTGGCCACAGGGTCTTGGCTTTCCATGCTGGGGCCCCTTATTAAGCATTTTCTCAATTCTCCTAAAATGAATGGAATGCTCTGCAGGGTTTAATGGAAAGGAGTGATACAAGCATATTTGTGTTTTTTTTTTTAACTTTTATTTAATGAATATAAATTTCCAAAGTACAGAATATGGATTACAATGGCTTCCCCCCCCATAATGTCCCTCCAACCCGCAACCCTCCCCTTATCCACTCCCTCTCCCCTTCCATTCACATCAAGATTCATTTTAGATTCTCTTTATATACAGAAGATCAGTTTAGCATACATTAAGTAAAGATTTCAACAGTTTGCTCCCACACAGAAACATAAAGTGAAAAATACTGTTTGAGTACTAGTTATAGCATTAAATCTCAATGTACAGCACACTAAGGACAAAGATCCTACATGAGGAGTAAGTGCACAGTGACTCCTGTTGTTGACTTAACAAATTGACACTCTTGTTTATGGCATCAGTAATCACCCTAGGCTCTTGTCATGAGCTGCCAAAGCTATGGAAGCCCCCTAAGTTCACTGACTCTGATCATATTTAGACAAGGCCATGGTCAAAGTGAAAGTTCTCTCCTCCCTTCAGAGAAAGGTACCTCCTTCTTTGATGACCCATTCTTTCCACTGGGATCTCACTCATGGAGATCTTTCATTTAGGTTTTTTTTTTTTTCCCCCAAAGTGTCTTGGCTTTCCATGCCTGAAATACTCTCATGGGCATTTCAGCCGGATCCGCATGCCTTAAGGGCTGATTATTAGGCCAGAGTGCTGTTTAGGACATTTGCCATTCTATGGGTCTGCTGTGTATCTCACTTCCCATGTTGGATCATTCTCTCCCTTTTTTATTCTATCAGCTAGTATTTGCAGACACTATTCTTGTTTATGTGATCCCTTTGGTTCTTAGTCCTATCATTACGATCAATTGTGAACAGAAATTGATCACTGGGACTAGTGAGATGGCATTGGTACATGCCACCTTGATGGGATTGAATTGGAATCCCCTGGTATGTTTCTAACTCTACCGTTTGAGGTAAGTCAGCTTGAGCATGTCCCGAATTGCACATCTCTTCCCTCTCTTATTCCCACTCTTATATTTAACAGTGATCACTTTTCAGTTAAGTTTCAGCACTTAAGAAGAATTGTGTATTGATTACAGTATTCAACCAAAAGTATTAAGTATATTAATATTAATAATATTAATATTAATAATAATATTAAGCATATTTGTGTTTTTAAAGTATTTCTCCACTGAGAGGCTACTGCTGTTGTTTAGGGAGGTTAGGCTAAGGCACCATCAGTAGAGGAACCTGGTGGGTGTATCAGAGAGATGTTTGAGTTGAGTGGTTGGGGCTTAGTGTTAGCTTGGGTGTAGGAGGAGGGATGCCCCTCTGATGGCTTCCTCCTAGGAAGAAGTAACTTGCAGAACTAGATGACAAGGTGTGATGTTCACTGAGATGAGGACAGCTTCTTATTGCTGTGACACAGCTTTACTGTGTATTGGAACATGAGAGCGTATTCAAAGTGTTTCTTTTCCTATGGAAATCTGAAGGCTGCACACAGAGGAAAAGGAGTGACAGGTTGGTAACGTTGATATTGGGAGCTTAGAGATGCTTGCTCCTTGTTTCCCCTTTGACTTTCAAAGATATCAAGTTGTTAGATATTTAGTCTTTGAAACATAAGGGCAGAGATACCAAGTTTATAAATTCTTGAAGGTTACATTTAGCACTGGTCAACTACTCACTCCCTTCCATCAGATCTGTTTGTTTAGTCTGAAAAACAATTAATTCAGTGCAGAAATATATGTCTTCATTATTTTTCTATTAACCTTTTAAGTTTCTTCTCCTTATGTCATAATTAGTTGCATGTGAGGAGAGATTTGCCTCCTCCAGTGGGTGTACAGACTGGATCATATTAAGATACAGTAGCTCTGAAGTTCGCTACCTCTGACTTGGAATGCCTTTGGCAGGTACACCAGGGCTAGAAAATCCCGTCAGAAGCCTTGGTTAGAGCCTTTGTCAAATGCTGTTGGTGCTTGGAGTTGGTATGAACAAGCCTAGAAGGCTTTTGAGTTTTCCTAGACTCCCCAAGACTGACTGGGACTCTCTGAGTCAGAAGGTCTGAGTCAGATCAGAATGTAAGTCTTCTTAACCCCCTACCACTTTTCTGTAGCAGAAAGGATTCCATGAGACACCTTAAAAGGAAGAGAAGCCACTAGTGGTAGAGTGAGGAATATGAAATTAGATCTTTTACTTAGGTACACGACTGAGGTGTGGGGGATATGGCTGATGTGTGTGTGCAAACATGCGTACTTCAGGTCATTCAGGTCAGGTCATAGCGCCCCGTCCCCACACACGCACATGTGCACACATGCGCGCACACACACACGTGTGCTTGGTCTGTGACTCCATCTCTGTGTCATAGCCTAACAGCCTCCTTGGTATAAGGAATGGGAACAAGATCCTGTGTTTTCCGACTTCCTCAAAATGCCAAGGCCAAAGTAGAGCTTTGGGAGCTCTTGTGGGCTGGGTCTCCCTTCTTAATGTGGGAGCTCTCCTGGGCTGGGTCTCCCTTCTCCCTCCCACCTATCCCAGCTGTCAGCCTGACTCCACAATGTCCCTACCCGCAGCACTCCACCTCGGTGAGCATCATGGGCTTTTCCAACACTCTGGAGATGGAGGTGTCATCTACCAGGCTGGCCAGGACCCTAGAGCCACAGATCAAGAGCGTGAGCAACCTTACTGCTGGACCTCCCCAGGCAGCACCAAGCCTGCTGAGTGGCACCCCCCATACTGTGTCCAGCCTGACGAATATTCAGAACCACGCCGTGCCCAGCCTGACAGCCAGTCACCTACAGACTGTGCCCAGCCTTGTGCGTGGCACTTTCCAGTCCATGCCCAACCTGATGAGTGAGTCTCCCCAGGCTGTCACAAGCCTAGCAAGTGATCACTCTCAGGCTGGGTCCAGCCTAATGTCTGGTCATACCCAGGCTGTGCCAAGTCTGATCAATTGCCCTCTGCAGAGCATGCCTCCGATTTCTGAAATGCAGCCAGAAACTGGGTCCAGCTCCAGCTCCAGTCCTGGCTCTGGCCGAACTGCAGGGAGCCTGTGCCCTGGGGATGGAGCTGACCGCCCCCTGGTGAATGCCCTGTGTAAGGTAAGTCTGGGAAATGCCATTCATCTCCCCTGCTCATCACTGGGCAGAAGGTTGGCTACTGAAGGCCTCATCCTGGCCTTAGACCAACAGCTCTGAGACCACTTATGGCAAAAATGTCTGATTGCTTTGATTCTTGTTGATCTTTTGAAAGATGGAGAGTGAGGATTCTACCCGCTTCACTGACTTAGTGGGACAAGGCCCCACAGTCCCTGGTCTGGCTACTTCCAAGGACTTGGCTGTCCCAGCAGAACTGGAAGAACCAATTAACCTCTCTGTGAAAAAACCTCCTGTGACACCAGCGGTCAACACATCCACGGCTCTGCAGCAGTACCGGAATCCAAAAGGTGAGACTCAAGTAGGCAGCCTACCTTTCGTGTGGGCCCTGGAAGTGAGCAGTCAGACCCATCACTTCCAGGTGAGGCAGGGGCCAGCAGACTGCACGCCTCGGGGAGTACTGCTTCTCTCTGAAGCTAAATTCACATTTCTTTTCCACAATTGGCAGATGACACTTGCTCTGCTTTGCTCACTGAGGCCATAGCAGATCCATGTGGCCTCGTATAACATTCCCCATGCGGAAAGTTCTGGGAGGTCTGGGTTAAAGGTAAGGCAAGATAGCAAGAATGTGCCCAGTAGGGCTAGCCCTGGCAGAAGGGTATAGGGAGAAAAGCATGCTTGACTAGGGAATCAGAGGTTGTAATTATAGGGGGAAGAACGTGCCATGTTTCAGAGTCAAACAGATCTAAGTTAGACAACTAGCTCTGTCTCCTTATATTTGATCCTGGGTGAGGTACCCAAACTCCCTGATTTGCTTTGTTTTTCTGTAAATAAGGCTAATCATATCTACTTCAGAGACTACTGGGACAGATTACTACAGTGAAATCATGTGATAACTTCCTGTGTGACAGCAAGAATTTTCCTCATACCCAGCAAGTTGTGTTGTACCTCATACTAAAGGGAATTTAGACCACTGGAGATTGGCTCTAATTTTTTTCTCGGTTATCTTTGCCCCTTCTCAGATAGGGGTAGGCTAAGGTTTATTTCTCTGTGGATGGGTTGGGAACTTGGAAAGCTACTATCTAGTGTTCATCTGGGACTTGTTCAATTCAGTGTGGTTTAATTTGTAATGATCAGTTTATTTTCTATATACATTTGGTAAATGAAAACTAAAGAAACAGATTTTTTTCTCCTTTTTTTATGCTGAAAGATCAAGTTGTTGATTCTTACTATACACAATAATGTAACTCATTCTGCATTTTAAATGTTAAATGTTAAAGACTCTGCTTTGTCTGGGCACTGCCAGGATTCTGGCTCTGGGGCCTTCCCTGAGTCTCTGAGTGAGTCTGTAGCTTGGGCAGACTTTGTCCCTTGCTGCAGGGGGCCTCTGAAATGCACTTTAGAATGGAGTTAAGTGTGTTGGACCCTGCTTGCCCAGTTAAAGTCCTGTGACAGTGCTGGTGCTGAGTGGGAGCTCAGTAAATCCCATTCGCTCCTGTTGCCCACCGCTGCCTTCTGCTCAGTGGCGTGGACTGTGCCGCTCAGGAGGGGCACTCTCTGGAGGCTCTTGCCTGCCAAGTGTGGGTGGATTCTCAGGCAGTGCTGCAGTCCCAGCACTTGACTAAACAGGTAACGCCTGGATAGCAGGATGCCAGAGCAGGTGACACCAGCGTGCTAGGATCGATGATCTGTGAGCTCACTGTGATGATGAGAAGGTGCCCCTCCGTGCCTGATGCCGCGCTCAGCTGTAGGCAGCCTCTGAGTGTTCTCTGTGTTCGTCTTTTCAAAAGAAGATGGCTTCCTCCTCTCTCAGGAAGGGCGTCCATGGTTGGATTATTAGCACGATGAATGGTTACCAGGCAGGTAACAATTGCATGACAGGTGTGTGGCCCAAAATATGGATAGCATATGTGAGTGGAAGGTATGGGCTACAGGGTATGTCGTCACAAATGCACGTCACAGATGCTTATTTGTATTTTGCTTTAGAGTTTGAGAATTTTGAACAACGAGCCCTTGAGCTGGATACAAAAGAGAACCGCAGCATCAGGTACCAGACTCTGGGCCAACCTCCCCCTGCCATCCCCAGCTTCATGTCCTGAGTGGTTGGCACAGGCAATAAGCATCCTGGATGACTTAATGAGAAGCAGGCGTTTGCCTGAGACTGTCTTCTTTAATCCTGGCCCTCCAGTGGGGTCTGTGTGGTTGGACACCCAGGGTGGTGTGGGAGGATGTCCTGGCTCCTGCACTGTGAGGCATGAACCCTGTGTGCAGTCCTCATTCTTTAGGGAGCTCCATTCTTTGGCCAGAGGCTGAGCCAAAGAGTTTCCAAGTGGCTGACAGGGCCTGGGCAGGCAGAGCTGGGCAGGAAGGCAGAATGTGGGCCTGCCGAGGGGAGACTGAGGAGCTCTTGAGTAGAAATTCCATTATAGGGTCATGGATGAGCTTCACTTATAGGGGGTGGGGCCAGAGGAGGCCTCCACCCATACCCAGGGGTGTCTCTCTTGCCACAGAGCCTTCCATTGTGAGCCCAAGATTCCCTATGTGCGGCTGGAGCGACTCAAGATTTGTGCTGCCTCCTCAGGAGAGATGCCTGTGTTCAAGCTGAAGCCACAGAAGAGTGATCAGGACGGGAGCTTCCTGCTGGTCATTGAGTGTGGCACGGAGTCCTCCAGCATGTCTATTAAGGTGCCACTTTTGGCTCAAGATCAAGTATGGCCACTGTGCTCAGCCTTGGCCTTGAACCTTGACCCAGCCCAGGAGCCGCTCCCTTCTTTCTGCTATTGCCAGGATTCTGGCTGTGGAGCGTATCCTGAGCCTCTGAGTGGGGCTATAGCTTGGCCAATCCTTGTCCCTTGCTGCAAGGGGCTTGTGAGGTGCACATTAGGAGTGAGCTGTCCATGTGCCTTGGGCTTCTTGGGGTCCTGGAATAAGGGGTTCTCATAGTAGGTGCTCAGGGCCTCTCAGTCCCTCCCTCCCTCCCTCCTTCAGTGACTTCTCCATGCCGTGCTCCTGACTTCTCAGACTTGCTTCTTCCCCTAGGTCAGCCAGGACAGCCTACCTAATGCTATCCAAGCCCCAGGTCTGGGAGGCAGAAAGGTCACTGTCACTTCTCTGGCTGGGCAGCGGCCGCCAGAGGTGGAGGGCACATCTCCTGAAGAACACAGACTCATTCCTCGAACATCTGGAACCAAGAAGGGGCCCCCAGCCCCAATAGAAAACGAAGACTTCTGTGCTGTGTGCCTCAATGGCGGGGAGTTGCTGTGCTGTGACCGCTGCCCCAAAGTGTACCACCTCTCTTGCCATGTGCCAGCTTTGCTCAGCTTCCCAGGGTGAGCCATGCCCATCCAGGGCCATCAGTTGCTAGCAGGGTTATCTTCCATAGGTGATTATTCCCGGCCAGACCCACAGAGCTCCCCAGGATGGATGTCCTCCCCTCTTCTGGGCATGCATGGATTGTGGTCTGTCAGTTGGTGGGCTGTACAGTGCTGTGTCTTCTGCATACAGGCTGGTAGATGCTTGAACTTTGACTGGCTGCCCTTCCTCTGTTGTCAGCTTCTTCCCTCATACAGATTTGTCCTGATGTTCCTGCCCCAGCCCTTCCCTAACTCCTGTTTTTCTGGATTCACTAAATCCTGAGTTACTAAATTTCTCTTAAACTTGTGGTTGGGAATCCATGCCCTAAGGAGTAGGGCCAGGACTCAATTTCCCATGCTATCACCACACATTTGTGTTGGAGCAGAGGGACAGAGAAGGGAGCTCCAGGCAATGTGCTGAGGCCTAACACGGCCTCGCCTGCCTACGCAGGGGAGAGTGGGTTTGTACCTTGTGCCGCAGCCTGAGCCAGCCAGAGATGGAGTACGACTGTGAGAATGCCCGCTATAACCAGCCTGGAGTGCGGGCACCTCCTGGCCTGAGCGTATATGACCAGAAGGTAGGGAGGGGTGTGAGGGAACAAAGTTCTTTTCCCAGGGCGCCCCCGCTATGCCCACAGGGGTGGGGGCTTTTCAGAGGGGAGGAGAGGCCTCTCGGGACCTTTCCCTGGGGGCTCCACCTGGCAGCTTGTCCTGTGGGGATTTGTGAGATTTTCCATCTCTCAACAGTTTTCCTCTGGCTTGGGAGCTTGAACTGTGCCTTAGGATGGTGGCTGGGACCCTGGGGGAGAGGGCCAGAGAGTTATCAGGGCCACCACCTTTAGTTCTTTCAAGGGGGAGCCAGAACAAAGTGACACTGCTGCCAATTCTGATTTCTGCAGAAGTGTGAGAAGCTGGTCCTGTCCTTGTGCTGCAACAGCCTCAGCCTGCCCTTCCACGAGCCTGTCAGCCCTCTGGTAAGGAAGGCCTCCCTCTTTCCACCTGCTGCTCAGGGATAAGGGGCAGGAGAGGGCGGTACCCAGGGTGGGCTCAGAGCAGGGCCACTGGCAGTCATGGCAGTGTTAATTGTGGGTGCTCCAGGGGACCCCGGGGACACTCCAGCCTCCCCTCCGCAGCTGCCACCGCCGCCGACGTGACAAGCGGCACAGGACACAGCCCTCCTTTCCCCTTTCTCCTTGTCTTCTTTCTCTGGGCTTTTCTTCCCCCTGCCCTCATCCTTTTCCTTCTGCTGTTCTTTCACTTACATGCCCACTCCCTGTCCATCTCCCCGCCTCCACTTCTCCCTCCCTGCTTTGCCTCCTTCTTTCTCTCTCTCCTCCCCCAAGGCCCGACATTACTACCAGATTATCAAGCGGCCCATGGACCTGTCAATCATCCGGAGGAAGCTGCAAAAGAAGGACCCCGCTCACTACACCACCCCCGAGGAGGTGGTGTCAGACGTGCGCCTCATGTTCTGGAACTGTGCTAAGTTCAATTATGTATGTGGTGTCTGTTTCCCCTCCCTCCCATCTCCTGTGACCCCTAGACTATCATGGCTGGGTAGGGGCGGGGGGGGTCAGCTTTGATCCTGGGCCACCAGAAGGACCTGGCACAGACTCCTGGGCCTCCTGTGACACGTGTTTAAGAGTTCACTCCCACACTTGGGACCTGGCCTGGACTGAGGAGGGGAATAGGGAGGTGCCGGTGACTGGACACTAGGGGCAGCCTGTCAGGGTCACTTCCAGGAGCCACTGCCAAACTGACAACTCTGAGCCCTGGGAGGAAATGTCCAGCTCCAGCTATCTCAGGATGAGACCGCAGCATGGGCCAGCCAGGCCCTTAGCTGTTGGTATAGCTCCTAAGGGAGCTGGAAGAGATGGGCTGGAGGGAACATCCAGACCTTCACTGTTCTCCTCTCCTTCAGCCTGACTCCGAGGTGGCCGAGGCCGGCCGCTGCCTGGAAGTGTTCTTTGAAGGCTGGCTGAAGGAAATCTACCCAGACAAACGGTTTGCCCAGCCACGGCAGGAGGACTCCGACTCCGAGGAGGTGTCCAGTGAGAGCGGTTGCTCTACTCCCCAGGGCTTTGCGTGGCCCCCCTACATGCAGGAGGGCATCCAGCCCAAGAGGCGACGGCGACACATGGTAAAGAGTTGCTGGCAGCTAGCATGTGGGTGGGTGAGCAGCACAGGTGACCCAGCAGAAAGTGCAGAGCAGTACAGGGCCTGTCAACTCTAGTTATCACTGACATGTGAATGGGACGGACAGGCCAGGGGTCTGCCTAGACCACCCAGCAAATTAGCAGAACTAGAGTCAGAAATGAGGTGTCCTGACTTGCATCTCCTACACTGAGATGGTGGGGCCCATAAGAAGAGAAGTACCTGATGCTAATCCCTGATATCTACTTGGGTTTAAGGGAGGAAAGAAGGGATTTTTTTTAAATGTTTTATTGAGGCTGGTGTGGTGGTGTAGTGAGTTATGCCATGGCTTTGCAATGCCAGCATCCCACATTGGAGTGCTTGTTTGTGTCCCAGCTGCTCTGCTTCCAGCACCTTCCTGCTAATGTTCCTGGGAAAGCAGCAGATCATGGCCCAAGTGCTTGGGTCCCTATCACCCATGTGGGATACCCAGATGGAGTTTCTAGCTCCTGGCTTTAGCCTGTCTCAAGCCTGGGTGTTGTGTGGCCATTTGCGGTGTGAATCAGTAGATGGAGGATCCGCCCCCCCCCACCATGTCACCCTGCCCTTTGAATGAATGAATGCATGAATAAATAAACAAATCTTTAAAGATTTTATTTATTTGAAAGGTAGAGTTACAGAGAGAGAGTAAGAGAGAGAGAGGGAGATCCATCTTCTTCTTTTTTTTTTAAGATTTATTTATTTATTTAAAAGTCAGAGTTACACAGAGAGAGAAGGAGAGGCAAAAAGAGAAAGAGAGGTCTTCCATCTGATGATTCACTCCCCAGATGGCTGCAACAGCTGAAGCTGTGTCGATCTGAAGCCAGGAGCCAGGAGCTTTTTCTGGGTCTCCCACGCAGGTGCAGGGGCCCAAGGACTTGGCCGTCTTCTACTGCTTTCCCAGGCCAAAGCAGAAAACTGAGAGATCCATCTTCTGTCCACTGGTTCACTCCCCAAATGGTCACAATGGACAGAGCTGGGCTGATCCGAAGCCGGGAGCCAGGAGCTTCATCCAGGTTTCCCATGTGGGTGAAGGGGCCCAAGAACCTTGGCCAACTTTTGCTGACTTCCAAGGCCATTATCAGGGAGCTGGATGGGAAGTGGAGCAGCCAGGACTTGAACCAGAGCCCATATAGGATGCCAGTGCTGTAGGTGGCCGCTTTCACCTGCTATGCCACAGCACTGGCCTCTAAACACATCTTTAAAAAATGGTGAACCGGCGCCGCAGCTCACTAGGCTAATCCTCTGCCTTGCGGCACCGGCACACTGGGTTCTAGTCCTGGTTGGGGCGCCGGATTCTGTCCCGGTTGCCCCTCTTCCAGGCCAGCTCTCTGCTGTGGCCAGGGAGTGCAGTGGAGGATGGCCCAAGTGCTTGGGCCCTGCACCCCATGGGAGACCAGAATAAGCTCCTGGCTCCTGCCATTGGATCAGCGTGGTGCGCTGGCTGCAGCGGCCATTGGAGTGTGAACCAATGGCAAAAGGAAGACCTTTCTCTCTGTCTCTCTCTCTCACTGTCCACTCTGCCTGTCAAAAAAAAAAAAGGTTTATTTATTTAGTTACTTAGTTATTTCCATTTACTTGGAAGGCTGGTCTACTCCCACATGTGTGGCAGGAGTCCACGTGTTTGAGCTGTAATCTGCTGCCTCCTAGGACTCTTTAGTGAGAAACCAAATCAGAAGTGGAGTAGCTGGGACTTGACTGACACTCTCATATGGGATGCAGGTGTCACAAGAGGTGGCTGAAATTCAGGCCTTACCACGCCCAGGAGGGATCTTTTTCAGCCCTTTGGTGAAGGACAGGAAGGAGAGGTATTGATGACTGCAGAGAGAGCACCTTTGACCTTTTGGCTGGTCCTATCTGTAGATCTGAAACAATCACTTCAGTGCTGTTAAATTCTACAATGCCTGCCTCCTGAGTGCTTAGGTCTGACCAGCCATCCCCACCTACTTCTGATACTTAGCACACAATAGTTAATGGCTTTTGTGAGTTTTGTTGTGGCTTTCCTGGAATAGAATAAAAACATTTTGACTCTGGAGGATGCCAATCTTGACATTTAGCCTTTTTATGTAACCAAGTTGTATAGTTAGCTATTCTAATTACAAAAACATATTTTTTCCTTTCAGGAGAATGAAAAAGCAAAGAAAATGTCTTTCCGCCTGGCCAACAGCATCTCCCAGGTGTGAGGAAGAAGCCTGAGCATTGGCAGCTGGTACCCCGTCCTGTTGACCATTCCTCCCCATCCTTCAGCTTACTCTCTTTGGAATGTGGATGTGAGATGAGTCTTGTTGAGCTGTGTAGTGCTCTTCTTTGCCATTTGCATCTACAGCATTTATTTGGGAGCCATAGTGCATCCACTACAGAGAAGAATGCAGTAATAAACAGGACAGAGGGAGGTGTTCCTTATCACCAGAGGAATTGGAGGTAGAGGATCTAGTTGACAAGACTGTGAATTCCTTGGTGAATTCTTTGTGCTGAGGAAAGCAGACCCTTCTCACCTTCCAGTGTCCAAGGCTCAGGAGCAATGTAAATATTGGAGCTCTTCCCGGGCTCAGAATAGGGTAAAAGAAGGGAGAGAGGTTTGGACATGCAGCAGACCCATGATCCCTGGCCCAGCCCAGCCAAAGACTGTCACTGTTTGCCTTTGCTTGTCCTGTCAGGATGGAGGCACCTGCTGCAGGCAGAATAATGGAGGCTTCTAGAGGCCATAGGTCTCAACTGGTGCCTATTTGGATTCTAACGGTTTTCAGGGTATTTGTTCTTTACGATGACTTAGGTGGTATCTGTGAAAGTGCTCTGGATGGTCTGACATTCTAGACCGAGCTGGGTCACTTACAGCTTCTAGCTCAGATTTCACTTGCAGGCTTAGAAGGTGGCAGCATCAGAATCTGCCCTCCGGACCACCAGTCCGGGCTAATTGCACTTCTTTGGCGCAGAACCTGCCTTCCTAGAAGTGATTGTCAGTGGCCACCCCTTCATCCTCTCCATTCAGAGGTCTGGATCCTGAATTTTGTTTGGGAGAACTGTGAAGCAGCTATCGTCTGCTTTAGGCACAGAGATCCCTGGGCAAGGAGAGTTTCCCACAACCAGCTCACCTTGCTGGGCCTCTCCTCCCGCTTAGAGATTCCAATTCTCAACCTCTGTGTGGTTACCGAGCCAAAGATCATAAGTGTGTCCTCTGACTAGCCTACTTCTGGCTGTCCCCAGCCCAGGAAAAGCAGCGTTCCCCAGCAGCCCATTTTGGTTGGAGATTAGAGAAGGTCACAGAGACCAGCAGGAGCCAGAAGGAGTCGTTTCTGCATAAAATTATAGCTAAGGTGGAGGAGGAGGAAAATTGAGAGGCAAGATCCCAGTGTCCTTTGGTGGTTCTGAAGCAGGACCTTAGTTCTCCTAGAATGCAGAGAGGGGTGTTCTGGAAGCCATGGAAACAGGAGCTCCAGGCTGTATCACTAATGAACTTTATGGTCCAGGCAGGATGTTGGTGAGGTTGTGGAATGGACAGATACTGGGGGGGTCAGGCCTCTTCCCAAGCAAGGGCTTGGTTGAGAAGAAACCCATTGCTGATACTGTGTGGACCTGGCATTTCAGTGGCATGGACTTGAGATAGCTCTCCCTGGTCCTGTTATGTCCTAGTTAATTTCAGGGGGGGGGGTGTCTCAGATCATGGCTTTATTTTTGTGAAGAAATGCAGTATAAGGAAATTTTTGTTTGTAGGGCTTTGTTAATGAATGATTTTTAAAAAGATTATTTGTTTGTTTTAAAGTCAGAGTTACAGAAAGAGAGGGACAGGGAGAGAGAGAGAGAGGGACAGGGAGAGAGGGAGAGAGGGAGAGGGAGAGAGGGAGAGGGAGAGGGAGAGAGAGAGAGAGAGAGAGAGAGACTATCTTCCATATGCTGGTTCATTCCCCAGATGGCCGTAATGGCCAGGGCTGGCCAGGCTGAAGTCAGGAACCAGAAGCTTCTTCCAAGTATTCCATGTGGGTGTCAGGGGCCCAAACACTTGGGCCATCTTCCACTGCTTTCCCCAGGCCATTAATAGGGAGAAGTGGAGCAGCTGGGAACAGTGCCTATATGAGATGCCGGCGCTGTAGACAGCAGCTTTACCCACTACACCACAACGCCAGCCCGGAGCAATGTTGTTTTAATCAGAACAAATTTCTTCTCTCCTTGTGAGTTGATGGTACTGCTCATTTCCTTCTCTGCCTAGTCTGAGAGTTTATCCTCATTTCAAAGCAAACTGTGTCCATCAAACTGTTCTTTCAGCAGTTTACACTGAGCTCTCCTAAGCAGATGAGCTTCCGTGACCCTGTTATCTAGTTTGGGGTAAATAAGTCTTCAGCAAACTACTGATCAGGCAAACTTTGGATCTAAGTCTGTTCTCTGGAGTACACTGACTTTCTGGTTTTGGCTCTGACTATTTCTCTTTCAATTTCTCATTTGTTTCTCTGGTTGGCTTGGCAAGGCTTCCTCTGTACTTACCTCACTAATGCCTGCCCAGATCATCTTTCCTTGTGTGGCCCACATTCCCAACATTCCTAAAGGAGCTTCCTGATGCTTGGTGTTGGGCAGCCAGTGAGGTAGTGACAGGCTCACACTTGGTGGAGATCCTTCCCCAACTGGAGGCCACAAGTATGAAGTAGAAATGCCTGGTTAAAAGCGTGACTCCCAGCTTGGGCGTTGCTTGCTGGATCCAAGGATGCTGGCCCAGGGATGTTGGCAGTGTGATGGAGTCACGTATTCCTTCCCCCTCATAGAGACCTTGCATGCTGAGAGGCTCCTTTTAGGCTCCTGAGGGGGTGGGGGGTTGGCAAGGTGTCCTTTTCCCCCAAGTACAGGGCCTTAGCCCACCACACTGCCCCAACCCTGGTTATCCCGTGGCACTGCCCTTTCCATGCCTTTTCCTCTATACTTGGCACCAATGTTGCAGATCATGGTTTTGTTTTCTTTTTGCATGAAGAAAACAAAACATGACTTGGTAGAAATTTAAAATCCTGCTAGTCAAGTGATGGTCTTTAGTGGCTCTCTTTGCTAGCATTTGAGCTGATCCTGCTTTTGACTTGTTTTCAGTATGTTCCCATCTTGAATCAGTCAAGTCCTTTGGTCTTTGACAGAGTCATGCAATAGCAATACAGTAAATTCTGGATTCTTGTAGTATAGCATGAAGTTCTAGAAGAGAAATTTGTTTCTTGGGTTTGCTGAGAAACCAGTAGAGTGGCTTCAGTTGATGCAAAGGAGATTTTAGTGTAAAAATCTACGCAGGGAGAACATGCAGAGCAGTGTTCTGCAGAACGTGGCTAGGTCAGCCCTGTCTGACTTCTAGCAATTGCTGACCACACACCCTGCCTGCCTCTGGTTGCCTCTCCCTCCATAGGTTGTATTCCACAGCAGGCCCTGCCACTAACCCTGGTGGGCACTTCCGGCGACAGGTCTTTGCCTGGCTCTGAAGACCTGGGCCCTTCCTAGTTTGTACTGGCGCTCTGCTCTTGCTCCTTCTCTCACTCCATGGGGTCATGTCCAGTCTTCTCTTCTGAGATCCTAAACTGAGCCTTTGTTCTTGGATCAATACCTGCTCTTCCTCCTCTTCTCCTGCTCTCTCCCTCACTGCTGCTGCAATTGCCCCGCTCCTTTATTCCGTTTCCATGACCTCAGTCCTGCCTCCCTTCTCTGGTCTTTCAACCTTCTCCTGGACTTCTCTCCCCAGCACAAACCCAAGGCCAATCTACACGCTGATATTTTTATTGGCATCCAGAACCATTTCATCTGCTTTGGCTGCATTCTCCACATCACCCTATTTCCTGCTTCCTGCTCTGGGCTGCTGAGCATGACAGATTCATGGCTGGCAGCCTCATTTGGGTACTCAGTATTGACTGGAAATTCTTTAACTTGTTGGTCTTCTTTTCTATCCATGCACCTCATCTTTTCTCTCAGCAAATGACTGGCCTCCTTGTCTGCTTTACAAAAGACAGCCCCTAGAGCTAGAATGTCCTTGCCCCCTGCTTCTCCTTCCTTACATCTGTCCATGTCCCTCCTTGTCCCCTTTACTCTTGTTCCTATTTAGTTCCATGTGTCTTGAATGCTGTTCTATGTCCTCCAAGACTTTGCTCCCTCATTTGTTCCACTCCTCCCACTTCCTGGGGCCGTCAGCCTCTGTCTGTGTTGGTTACCTCTACAGAGCCTGCAAACAAGCACTTATCCCAATGATAATTAATAAAAAAGAAACTCATTAGAGTCTGTTGCTCCCTATACTATTTCTTTGTCAGCCAAGTTCCTTTATAAAAGAAATCTTTTTCATTGATTCTTCTTGGTTACTCTTTAGCCTACAGGGTCTTTCATAAAAGTCACCAGTGACATCCAGTTGCCAAATCAAATGAATACCTTTCAGTCCTTAGCTGCCTTGAACTCTGCATAGCATTTCACTCCATCTTCCACTCCCTCCATGAAACACCTTCTCCACTTGACTCTTGTGACGCAAGTCTCTGGGTCCTCTTACTTCTTGGTTACACAGGCTGAGCCTTCCTTGCAGCCTAGACTCGAGGACATGGCTGTGCTGTCTGGTATCCCCTCCTGAGGAGTTGGGGAGGCAGGCAGAATCGCTGCCTCCCGCTCTCCCAGTTCATTTTCTTTGAGTCCTTTCCTTTCCTTGGACGCAGTTGTCCTCATGCCAAGCATGTTTATGAGCTCCTGCAGGGAAGACGCATCTGTGAGCCCTTCCCTGCCTCCTCCGGTACAGCCCAGAGACAGGTTTTAGCCATCTTTGCCAGGAGGTCTCATGTAAATCAGCCCGAGTATGGCTTCGGTCTTAAAACATCCAGGCTGCAATCTGGTCAACTGGATTATCAGACTTGCGGGCCATGGATCACCATGATCCCACACCAGCTAGGATCTGCCATGGTGGTTAGGAGCCTGGGTGGTGGTGAAACATGTCTCAGTGTTGTTGACCAGGAGGGGACTCCTGGCTTAGTGGGTGTCTGCCGCTGATCCCATTCTGATGCAGGGAGACTGGGAAGTGCTTGGGTCCCGCTGGGGTCAGCATAACTCCCTGTAGTTGAGTCTTTCTCACCGTGCTGATCATTACCACCTGCTTGCTCCAGTTGACAGCAGATGCTGGTTGCTTTCTTAGAGGTAAGGAGGTGTAACAGAGGCACTTGATTTGAGAGTCTGAACACTTGATGATGAGCTATGTGACCCTTGGGTACAGTTTCCCCATCTCTAAAACTGGAGTTGGGTGGCTGAGAACAGTGATATCTCAAAGGCTCTCCAGCTTAAAAGATGATCATTGCGCTTTTAGC